TTTAATCCTCACAACAACCCTGAGCTGTAGATACCAGCAATGAGGTAACTGGGATTTACGGACCCCAGTCCAAAATGCCTCATTGATGTACCTGAGGAGTCCCGCCTTGTGTCTGGCTTTAAACCTCCTTGCAGCTGGGGGCTCCCCTCTTGTCTTGATCTCCAAGGTCAGCCCGGGAGGCCTGGCCTCAAACCTGCCCCAGTGGAGAGGACAGACTGAATCTTTGCAAAGGTGACAAAAGTGACCACTTGCTGCCACTGTCTCTGCCAGCCCAGTCTGCTTTGGAGGATAAGGAAACTGAGGCATGACAAGGGCGCAGCCTGCTGCCTGCCCCTGTTCTGAGAGCCCCAAGCAGGGGGTGGTTTTCTCTTCTGCCTTAGTCACAGGAATCCACCCTCCCCTGTGCCCACCTGCCTGCCCACTCCGTCCCGCTGACCCCGTGAGTCCCATACTCTGACTCTCCTGTCTGGAGGGGCTTTGCCTGCGACGGAGAACTCAAGGAATCTCCCAGCCTCTGGCGGGTAGATGGACAGACAGGGCTGCACAGGGAGGTGGGGAGCACAGAGAAGGAGGCCGCGGAGGCACCAGCCCAGCCCTGGAGAGCTCGTTCCAGAGAAACCTCAGTTCTTGCTTTGTCCAGGGCAGGCGCCTCTCTGGCCAGAGACCTTGGCAAAGACCCAGGCCCTGGTCAGTTGCTCTGGCCGCCCGCCCCCGCCTCACCGTGCCCCACCCTGTCTCACCTTGCCCCAGCCTCAGTCAGGCCCCAGAGAGGACTCCTACTTTTCAGGAGGTCTGGGAGAATGTGAGACACTTGCCCGAGGTCAGAGCTGCTCTGACCCCACTTCCCCCCACCTCGACCCCCCACTCACCCCTCCCGGCTGTGCCATTTCATCGGCCACCGCCCCCACCTCCTCCTGCAGGGAGCCCGCAGGATGTGTTAGCCTGGGAAGGAGCGGGCAGGAGGGGCGGTCGAGCAAACGTGGGCTCCGTGGCTGAGCCTGGAGCTGAGCCTGGCGGGTGGGGCAGCGCCGGGGTGGGAGCCAGGAGTCTCCAGAGGCCGGACTTGGGAACCTGGACAGTGGAGACGTGAGGAACAGCAGCTTCCAGTGCCCAGCGGCAGGCTGACTTCCCTGCCTTACCTGATAGGAGCCGCCAGAGTAAACGGGCTCGGGGACTAAGACCGGCCCCGCGACACGTAGCTCCTTTCTGAGTGGACTGAAACCAGGTCCGAGTGACCTGAAAACCCAGTAAGAGCAGAGTCACCACATCCAGCCCTGGGGGTGCCGCGTCCACCCTTCTCCCTACCCGCCTCCCAACCAGGGGACATTCTGTAGAACATCACTTCCTCTTCCATCGCGCGCTGAGCATTCAGAGATCACCTTGCCTTCCCTGAGGGTTTCCCTCCAGGAAGAAGGAACACGGAGCAAGCCTGCCTGTCTTCCCTTCTGGGCCCTTCCATGTACCCGGGCTCAGGAGGCTGCTGCTCCCAGAGCAGGAGCTCCCTAAGAGTTAGCTTCAGTGTTGGAACAAGCCACCCCTCCCCACGTCATCTGGGGGGCCCCGACTCTGAAAGGTGAGGTCAGGGGGCATCCTCAGAGAGCTGCGGCCCAGCCAGTCTGTGGGGTTCAGGGCCGGGGCAGGACAGCTGCCCCCAACTGCGGGGGGCAGCTCGGCCACCTCACCATTGCTTCTTAGCGGGAGGGGCATCCCCTCCCCCGGCCCCCCCAGCTCCCTGGGCCCTTCCCCCGGGGGCTGGGGCGGGGACCTCACCGGTCACATCTCATTCTCTGTACACCCCCACCCCAGGCCTGTATTCGCTCCTGCTTCCAAGACCACATGATCACCAAATGCAGCTGTGGCCACTACCTGTACCCGCTGCCCCGCGGAGAGAAATACTGCAGCAACAGGGAGTTCCCAGACTGGGGTGAGTGGGGAGCCCCCCAGCAGGGAGCCGGGGCCCACAGAGGCTCTGACCGCAAGGGAGGGGAGGGCTCCACGCCCTCAGCAGGGCCCAGGGGTGCCCAGACCAGCTCCTCAGTCCACAGCCCCTCTCACCCTGGCTCCCCGCTACTCCTCGATTCCATAAAGCATATGCTTGAAATGTGTATGTTTGGGGGAGAATCTGTACTTAAGACCTGAAGCGCCAGGAAGAGGAGCCCCTACTGGGCTCACGCTGAGCTGGAGTCCAGGCCAGAGTCTAAACACCAGTGGGTGTGTGGGTGTTGTTGGTGGCAGAGAGGCCCATCACCTCTTAAAACTACCAAAATGTGTGGACGAGGGGGGAAAATGTTATCCCTTCCAATCACCCATCCCTTTCCACAAGGCCCCATTGCCCCAGCCCGCCCCCTACCCTCGGGCCAGGGTTGGGGGTGACAAGAGAGTGGCCCAGGGCCAGGAGGGCAGGGGGCAGCCGGAGGCTCAACGCAGAAACCCTGCTCAGAGTCTCTCCCCACCACCCCCTCCTGCTCAGCCTACTGCTACTCAGCCCTGCGCATGAGCCTGGCGCAGAGGGAGTCCTGCATCGATGTCTGTAAGGAGTCCTGCAAGTGAGTGCGGCCTGGAGACTCGGGCGGGCGGCGGGGTGTGCGGGGACAGCAACTGGCCGCCTCCTCTCTTCCAGTGACACCCAGTACAAGATGACCATCTCCATGGCCGACTGGCCTTCTGAGGCCTCTGAGGTAAGCCAGCCGAGTGGCCAAGCTCCCGGCTGCCCAGCGCTGGGCCGGAGACAGGGCTGGGCATGTCTGCCAGCTGTTTGGAACTTGAGAGAGTTCCTTCCACTTCCTTCCACCAGTGTCCCCCCAGGCACTGTGCAGAGGACACAGCAGTGAGCGAGAGACAGTCCTTTGCTTATGCAGCTTACGTTCTAGTTGAAGAGACAGGCAATATATAGAAGTGAGGTCATTTCAAGGTGTGGTAAAGGCTGTATAGGAAGGAAACAGGATGATGAGAGTAACTGGGGGAAACCACGTTAGAGAGGGTGGTCAGGGAAGACCTCCCAAAAAGGTGACATTGAGTTCAAACTGGACGATGGGGCGAGCCTGCCTGGGTGGGCAGGGGAGGAGGCTCCAGGCAGAGGGAACAGCAGGTGCCAGGGCTGGAGGTGGGAAAGAGCTGGTGCAGGGAGACCCCAGTGCCTTCTCCCCAAAACAGCAGCCACGGCATGCACTTCTCCCTTCCTTTTCCTCGCTGTGTCAACACGTGGTCCCCAGGGGGCTTCAGGAAGATACAGGGCTGTAGTCTGCCTCCAGCGGTAGCAGGGCCCCTGACTGGGAGGGGATGCCACAGGTACCATATACTTCAGCTGCTTTCTTGGGTTTCAGGACTGGATTTTCCATGTCTTGTCTCAGGAGCGGGACCAAAGCACCAATATCACCTTAAGCAGGTGAGGCTGGAGTCTGGGTGGGGCAGGAAAAGCAGAAAAGAGGAGGAGCCAGAGCCTCCGGGGAGGGGTTTGAACACAGGGCAGCTACTCAGACATCTTCTCACACTGGTCAGATCCAGGAAAATCTAGAGGAGGAAGCACTGGAGTGAGAGAAACGCCAGCCAAGGGGCTCAGAGCCTGCCACTTCCTAAAGGATAGCCTGTTCTTCCTTCTGTCACCTGTTCACCCCCGCTCCACTCATCCATCACTGACCCCCACCCATCCATCCATCATCCCTCCTTCCAGTCTTCCACTCACCAACCCGTCCATACACACACCAGTCCATCCACCCCTCCACCCATCCGTCTACCCACACATCCATCCATCCATTTATCCCTCCATTGTCCATCCTTCCATTCTTCCACTCATCTGTCCATCCATCCATCTTTCCATCTATTCAACAAAAGTACGCATTGAGCACAAGAAAGACACAAGGTTCATACTATCAGGAAGTTCGAGACCAGAGGACAAGAGATATGTGAACAGGGCTTCTGGTGATGAGAGTCTGCACAAGACCCTCCCTGTGGGAGCCCAGCAGGGAAGGAGATGCCTCCTGCCTGAGATAAGGGAGGTATGTATCGGGAGGTGACACTTGAAGTAACCCTCCAAGGAGGAGGAGGAACTGTTCAGACAAGTAAGAAGAGGCAACAGTGCCGGGCAGAAGCCTAGAGGTGAAAGAGCAGAGCCTTCCTGAGGCCCATCAGGTGTAGGGGGGAAGCTCACTCAGCCCCCTTCTCTGCCCCAGGTCCCCCAACAGAAGGCCAAGGCTTAGGACTCTGTGCAGAGTCTACTCGGAGTGGGGGAGGGGAGCTCAGAGCCCATCCTCAGGTCTGTCTAGGGCCAAGGATCCTTTAGAAAGCTGGTTTAGACGGCGGTGCACAGGATGGGGGCTGGGTAAAGATGCTCTTTGTGGCCCCAAGGCCTAGAGGGCTCTCATTGGGACCTCACCATGCCTGAGAGAGGCTGTGTAATGTGTAAGAAGCTTGAGCCAGAGGAGGGTGGGGGATGGGGGTGTGTGCCTTGCTGCCTTGTGT